ATATACGACGGTATATGCCCTCTGGTAGTGTGCCATATGCTATTCCAAGGGGAAGGAGTACATCTCGGAGTACATCCCGTGGCTGTAGAACAGGAACAGATAGTGAAAATGAACATGATAGTGTTGCAATTGGGAAGGAAACTGTGCATGATGGTGGTAGGTGGTGGTGCCAGCCGTGAGGCACCAGCATTGGGCAATGCTGCCACCCACGCTGCTGCCTCAGCTGATCTACAACAAAAGCCACCATCCTCCACCCACCCACCACACCACCCTCCACAGCCACCTGTCAATATCCAGTACCCACCAGCAGACCGCACCTGGGATTGGTAGGAAGCTGACAATTTTGTTCCCAATCCTCATCACTTTGATGAAACTCAAAGTCGAATACGGCCATCTTGTACACTCGGGAACAATGCCAATGAACTGGAATGTTTCGAGTTATTCTTTGACGAACCCCTGATGGAAATTTTTGTCAGGGAAAGCCACAGATACTTCAAGTACACCATGGCAAACAATACTTTCACCAAAATCATGCCTACACCAGTGGAAGGAGACAACTGTGGCTGAGATGTAGCTTTTCTTTGCCACAATAATGCTTATGCCACATGTTTATAAGCAGAGTGTCAAATCATACTGGTCAACAGACCGCCTGATTGCAACCCCAGGTTTCAGTGATATAATGCGAGTGAATCAATTTGTGCTACTATTACATATGCTTCACTTCTCAGACAAAACCAGGCCTGACAGAAACGACAGGTTATATAAGATTAGGAATGTGCAAAACAACCACTGTGAAAGAATAGAGAAATTCCAAGCGCTTTCGTGATTACTCACATTATCAAGGAACTATAATGTGAGTAGTCACGAAAGCGCTTGGAATTTCTCTATTCTTTCACAGTGGTTGTTTTGCATATTCTGAAATCGCCTGTTTACTGTGATCTTATTGCAAGATTAGGAATGTGTTTGTGTGTCTGAAACAGAAATTCAATATGTATTTTCATCCCTTCAGGATGTTACTGATGAGACTTTGATTCTGTTCAAAAGAAGACTCTCATTCAAGAAGTACATACCAAGTAAGAGGAAATGCTTTGATATAAAGTTATTTGTGCTTTGTGACTGTTACAGTGGTCTGGTCTTGTATTGAATATTATTGTGTACACTGGAAGTTATACATTGCAAAATACCAGGAAGTTATTGGGCACCTCTGGTGATGTGGTTAGAACAATTATGGAACCATATCTTGGTAAGGGGCATATATTATATACTGATAACTGGTACACAAGCCCCTCACTCAGTGAGGGGCTTGTGCCACACACAGATGTAAGAACATAAGAAAGAAGGAACACTGCAACAGGCCTACTGACCCATGCAGAGCAGGTCCGTGCCCCCCCCCCCCCGGCAGTGCATGCAAATCGTAAGCATATGCCCAGGTCTGACACTGGCACTCGTACAGGTGAAGTGCAGGCATTTGCTGCCAAGGACATCATGGCATTTCAGTGGCATGACAAACGAGATGTCACATTGTTGTCATCAGTTCACCCTAATGAAATGACAAACACTGGCAGGCAGAATAGACACACCAATGAAACCATTCTAAAACCTGCAGCTGTGATTGATTACACCTTCAATATGCACTCAGTGGACAAATGTGACATGCAGATTGAGTTTGCTGATTGAGTTTGCAAGAGTTATAAGTGGTAAGTAACACTCTTTTTCCATCTTATAATATGTATAAGATAAGGACCAGAAACAAACCACCATGTGGCAAATTTTGTTTGTCTGTCATCAGACAAATAGTATTCAAGTACCAAGGAACAACACCTGCAATAGAAAGCTGCCCCACTAAATTTTCAACAACTACCTTCTCGTCTGAAGCATGGTGATCACTTCCTAATAAAACTGCCTACTACTGCTTTCAAGAAAAAGGCTCGGAAGAGGTGTCACATCTGTGCACGCACAAAAAAACGCCCACAACAATGCAAAGACACTGGTTTTATGTGTGAGCAGTGTAAAACACCACTGTGCATGAAGTGTTTCAAAGACTTCCACAAGCTGCAGAATTTCTAGAAACATGTCTTATGACTGTATATGTGTATATAAAATATAGAAAAATATTAATAAACAACATTTTATATCGTTCATTTGTGTAAACGAGTTTTGTAAACAATATAGTGACAACAGTGTTTGTGTAGTTATTGTGTAGTAAAGAAAGAGAAAAACCTTACAAAATAGTGCTCATATTGGTCTCACAAGCCATAAAAGTTACTTGAAAAAAAATTAAAAAATAATAGAAAAAAGTAGAAAAAAGTAAATAAAAAATTAACAGGTGACTGGCAGTCGGTGATGATGCCACATGCGGCTCATTTTCTGTCAACTTCACGCCTCCATATCTCGGTAAGTATTGATGGCAAAAACTTTTTTTTAGCCTATAATGTTTAGAAAAACAAACTATCTTTACATAAGAAAAAACTTTTTTATTTTTTTTTTTTTCAATTTTTCGACCCTGAGAACAAGTCTGGGCCTGTCGACCCTGAAAGGGTTAACTGAGGGTCCACTGTAATAGTGATTTAAATGTAAATTTATTTATTTTATTTAGTTTTCATTGTTTTGTGTATGTAAAACTATAATTAATCTTCAAAAAATGTATTTTTTTGTCAATATTTTTGGGTGTCTGGAACAGATTAATTGTATTTACATTAATTTTTATGGGAAATCTTATTTCTATTTTCTGCCATTTTGGTTTTAGGCCAAGCTTCTGGAACGGATTACGGCCGATAACTGAGGGTCCACTGTGCTACGCTAATACTGCTTCGCCAAGTCAGCTACACGCACACCTCACTCATGTTTTTTATGGTTTCAGAAATGTTAAAAGCAAGGGGGGATATAGTGTTGGAGTGGTTGGTACTTTTGTTTAATAAATGTATGAAAGAGGGGAAGGTACCTAGGGATTGGCGGAGAGCATGTTTAGTCCCTTTATATAAAGGGAAAGGGGACAAAAGAGATTGTAGAAATTATAGAGGAATAAGTTTACTGAGTATACCAGGAAAAGTATACGGTAGGGTTATAATTGAAAGAATTAGAGGTAAGACAGAATGTAGAATTGCGGACGAGCAAGGAGGCTTCAGAGTGGGTAGGGGGTGTGTAGATCAAGTGTTTACATTGAAGCTTATTGTGAACAGTATTTAGATAAAGGTAGGGAAGTTTTCATTGCATTTAAGATTTTAGAAAAAGGCATACGATAGAGTGGATAGAGGAGCAAAAGTGGGCAGATGTTGCAAGTATATGGAATAGGTGGTAAGTTACTAAATGCTGTAAAGAGCTTTTATGAGGATAGTGAGGCTCAGGTTAGGGTGTGTAGAAGAGAGGGAGAATACTTCCCGGTAAAAGTAGGTCTTAGACAGGGATGTGTAATGTCACCATGGTTGTTTAATATATTTATAGATGGGGTTGTAAAAGTAGTAAATGCTAGGGGGTTGGGGAGAGGGGTGGGATTAAATTATGGGGAATCAAATTCAAAATGGGAATTGACACACTTACTTTTTGCTGATGATACTGTGCTTATGGGAGATTCTAAAGAAAAATTGCAAAGGTTAGTGGATGAGTTTGAGAATGTGTGTAAAGGTAGAAAGTTGAAAGTGAACATAGAAAAGAGTAAGGTGATGAGGGTATCAAATGATTTAGATAAAGAAAAATTGGATATCAAATTGGGGAGGAGGAGTATGGAAGAAGTGAATGTTTTCAGATACTTGGGAGTTGACGTGTCGGCGGATGGATTTATGAAGGATGAGGTTAACCATAGAATTGATGAGGGAAAAAAGGTGAGTGGTGCATTGAGGTATATGTGGAGTCAAAAAACGTTATCTATGGAGGCAAAGAAGGGAATGTATGAAAGTATAGTAGTACCAACACTCTTATATGGATGTGAAGCTTGGGTGGTAAATGCAGCAGCGAGGAGACGGTTGGAGGCAGTGGAGATGTCCTGTCTAAGGGCAATGTGTGGTGTAAATATTATGCAGAAAATTCGGAGTGTGGAAATTAGGAGAAGGTGTGGAGTTAATAAAAGCATTAGTCAGAGGGCAGAAGAGGGGTTGTTGAGGTGGTTTGGTCATTTAGAGAGAATGGATCAAAGTAGAATGACATGGAAAGCATATAAATCTATAGGTGAAGGAAAGAGCGGTAGGGGTCGTCCTCGAAAGGGTTGGAAAGAAGGGGTAAAGGAGGTTTTGTGGGCAAGGGGCTTGGACTTCCAGCAAGCGTGCGTGAGCGTGTTAGATAGGAGTGAATGGAGACGAATGGTACTTGGGACCTGACGATCTGTTGGAGTGTGAGCAGGGTAATATTTAGTGAAGGGATTCAGGGAAACCGGTTATTTTCATATAGTCGGACTTGAGTCCTGGAAATGGGAAGTACAATGCCTGCACTTTAAAGGAGGGGTTTGGGATATTGGCAGTTTGGAGGGATATGTTGTGTATCTTTATACGTATATGCTTCTAAACTGTTGTATTCTGAGCACCTCTGCAAAAACAGTGATTATGTGTGAGTGTGGTGAAAGTGTTGAATGATGATGAAAGCATTTTCTTTTTTGGGGATTTTCTTTCTTTTTTGGGTCACCCTGCCTCGGTGGGAGGCGGCCAACTCGTTGAAAAAAAAAAAAAAATTAGTTACATTCCCAGGCTTTACATATGAATTCCATTTTGAATTTTTATTCACACAAAAAACACTAGATTTACTGATATGCATTATTGTAATAACTGTATAAATAATATCAGTGCATTCGTTAGCACATATTAGACCAACCAGTTGGACGTGTATTGGTCAAGTGAGGTAATTTGTTTACTCTGGAATATTGGCAAAAATCAAACAAGAAAAAGGCATTTTTTTTTTTTGTTGGTTTAAAGGCAGGGTCATTTATTACCTTTCTTCAGCGAAACATGTTTTCAGTGTCAAAATATACCACTGTTAGAAAATGCTAATGAAGAATAAATTAAAACTTTTCTTACCTTTGCTTGCAGAAGTGTTCCTTCTTTCATACCATATACCCAGTGCTTTGGCTCTTCATTTTCTAGTTTATTATCATCATCATCCTCATCATCATCATCAATGTCCCGACTGCCACTACTGTCTATCGAGGGCCCACGGCTGGTTCGTACTGTTTTTGGGTTCCTGTTGTGTGTGATGATGCTAATTTGAGAATTAGTTACAAAATGAGTGATTCCTGCTCTTGGATGGAAAATTTTACAGCAAGGGAACAACTAGAAATACCGTATATACCCGAGTATAACCAGACTCTATGTATAGGTCAACCCCTTTATTACCTCAAAAAAATCCTTAATTTGTATTCATCTCACAGATAAATCTATCCTTGTGTTTGACTGACTTTAAAAGGGAAGTCAAATGGTTCTAATTCAAAATGAATTATGCCAAAACTCAAGAGAGAGAAAAAAAAAGAAATGAAAATGTGACAATTGATCAACATGAATAAAAGAGCACTGGAGCAAGCCTACTGGCCCATACTAGACAAGTCTTACTAAAATCAAACTTTTCTCACTCATATTATTTTTAAAGCTACCCAAGGTGATATGCTCAATGATGAAAGGCAAGAGCAGGGCAGTGCAGGGCAGGGCAGGGCAAGGCAGGGCTTGCCTCCCTCTCTGCTTTCATCTCTACCTACTTACATACGTCCCTCTTTACTCCCCTCCCTTTCTGCCTCCTTCCCTCCTCTGAAAATGCCTACTTCCTTCCTTCCCCTTCATCATTGAATCTAAATCTTGGGTAGCTTTAAAAGTTGGATAATATTTGAGAGAAAGGTTAGATTTGAGTAGGGCCTGCCTAGCACAGGCCAGTAGACCTATGGCAGTGCTACTCTATTCTACATTGTATAGACAAAGTGAAGAGGCTAGTATGAGAAACTGAACATTACCAAATTTATTTGTATAGTTAAGGTGGAATTAGTTATTGAGTGTGGGTTACACCTTGATGGTGCACCAAAGTAGTAGAAATATAGTGGTTCTATGTCAGAATTTCAAAACTGATATTCATGAATAGGTCAAACCTAATTTTTTGCTTCAAATTATGGTCTTAAAATCTTGACCTATACATGGGTATATATGGTACATACAAACTACTGCACAAATCTAAGAGCATTCAATGACAAGCATTACACAACAAGTCCCATAACAGCTGTCACTACATTTATACTAAGTGAAATACAGTATCTTTATATTAGTTTGAAGTTTTTTGTGTGAAACTAAAATTTACAGCTCCAACAAAAAATTAATGTAAACATGTACATATATTCATCTTCATGGGGAAATGGAACAGAATTTCTCCTCCATAAGCCATGCATGTCATAAGAGGCAACTAAAATGCCAAGAGGAAGATGCTAGTAACTCCTCCTCCTATATATATGTATATTACTAAAGTTAAAAAGAGAAACTTTCGTTTTTCCTTTTGGGCCACCCTGCTTTGGTGGGATACGGCTGGTTTGTTGAACGAAAGAAGATGTATATTCATTCACTTATCATTCACTTCACTCACTCTCTCACTCACTTTCACTCACTCTCACTCATGAGAGAGCAGTGGAGGCAGATGTAATGTCTGAGGACAATGAGTGGTGAGAACATTATGCAATGAATTCATTGCAGAGTTTACTAAAAGTTTTATCCAGAAGGCTGAGGAGGGGTTGCTGGGGTGGTTCAGACTAAATATTTTGAGAGGATGGAAAGAAATAGAATAACTTGGAGAGTATAAATCTGAAGGTGGAAGGCACAGTAGGGATCGTCCTAGATAAAGTTGGAGGGAGGGGGTAAAGGTTGTTTTGTGTGCAAGGGGCTTAGACATCTAGCAAGCACGTGTGAGCATGTCAGATAGGAGCGAGTAGAGGCAAATGGTTTTTATGACTTGACATGCTGTTGGAATGGGAGTAAAGTAACATTTATGAAGGGATTCAGGCTAGGGGGACTTGAGTCCTGGAGGTGGGAAGTACAGTGTCTGATCTCTGATGGACGGATGGAGATATGTTGCGTTTTTTTTTAACTGTAGTGTTGGTGTGCATCTGGCATGACAGTGATGGAGTGAGTGATGATGAAAGTGTTTCTTCTTTTTCAGGTCACCCTGCCTCAGTGAGGCAATGGTCAATGTGTTAATATAAAAAAAAAAATGGTCACATCTTCCATCCGAGTCTAAGAACTACTTTTACAGGGAAAATATTACCCTCTCACCTACATACCCTAACATGAACCTCAATAGCCTCACAAAAACTCTAAACATCTTTCAGTAACCTACCGCCTATTTCAAACACTTATGATATCTGCCACACTGCTTCCTAATCCACCTCATTACATATATGCCTTTTCTTAATCCATGATTGCAATGAAAACTTTAATGTAAACACTTAGTCTACACATCCTTTACCCACCCTAAAGCCTCCTTGTTCATGTGCTATGCTGCTTTCCATCTTGCCCTCAATTCTTTTAACAATAACTACCATACACTTTACCTATAATTTTTATACTCTCTTTTATCTCCCTTTACTCTATATAAAAGAACTATGCATGCTCTCTCTCTCTAGGTACCTTCCTCTCTCTCATACATTTATTGAACATCTCTTCTGTAGGAGTTTATTAGTCTGAACCAAGAGAGTTAGCACAAATTATTTCTACATCAAAAATTTTGCATAACTTATGTAAATCTGTAAGAGGAGCAGTCAGCAGTGTTAATGATAGCAATACTGAGCTGAGGCATGAGCTATAACATACAAAACACTCTCCAATACTCGCCACCACCACCCTCCACCATACATCATAATCTTTTATGATTTTTATATGAGAGAAGGATAGTGTGTTCACTGATGGCAATACTGACAAACACTATTTTATTTAACCCTCCTCTCTGTCTCATCACCACTCCCTCCATCACTGCTTCTCTTTCACCTTAGTAAAATGGTGTTCTTCAAGTCATGGTAATGTACAGTACATGCATGATAAGAAACCCACAAGAATCTATAACAAGTGTGTTGCATTTTATGATGGAAAACACATTAACCCTTAAACGGTCCAAACGTATATATACGTCCACGCGCGTAGCGCCCCAAACGTATATATACGTTTTCTTTGTCATTCATTCAACATTGCCACATTAAGCCTGAGTCATCTAGACATGAGAGAATGGATGTGCGCACTCACTGTGTGTCATATTAAAATAATTGGGGATGCCTGGGTACCATATGTTCTTTTTTCCTTTTAAAAGAAAAGATTGTTTTTTTCATCAAAAGAGTTGGGGCGCTACGCGAGTGAACGTATATATACGTTTGGACCGTTTAAGGGTTAAGTATGATCCCTTTTCCTTCTTGGAACCAAAGTAATCTTTAATCATTATTTTGAAAGATGGTGAGCCTCAAACACCTGGTCTGAAAATAGTTATTTATAGCAATTTTGGTCAACTATCACTGGTACGTTACTTTAAAATAGTCTGCAAGTTTATCAGCTTTATTTACAGTAGCATTAGTTTTAAAAATGGTACCTACAGTACGTATGTAAAGCATGTTAGGGACTTGTTGGCCACAACACAACTAAATCTACAATTTCACAAACAGCTAACAGATAACTTCAGTAACCTACTGTATAAAGTCTGGATTTTTATATTACAGTATATAAAATTTTATAATACATACAATATTTCTAACACTGGGACTGTTAAAAATCATATCCTCCCTCCCCCCTCCTCCTCCTCCTCCCTCCCTCCTTCCCCCCTCTTCCTCCTCCCCCTCCTCCTCTCCCTTTCCACCCCCTCCTCCCCTCCCCGTCCACCTCCTCCCCTCCTACTTTACCTTGTCCTTATGATAGTTATATAGTACTTTGCATTTTCAACACAACTGCTTCTGGACATTAAGCCTGACATTCACGTAATTTTTGACCATTTGGATTTCCAATTTTATTTTTAAAGGTTCGGTATAATTTTAAATTGTCAGGGTAAATCACTTTTTTAACACTAATACTAACTTGAAGATTCATGACCATGCCACTCTTTTTATTTGTATTGTGTTAGACCGCTTGTTTGCAAGCCCTAAGTTAACCAAAATGCATGATGCATCTGCCATACATTATGCTATAATTATACACAAATAACCCCCACACAGGAGAATAAAACTTATGACAATATTTTAGTCTGACTCACACCATTACAACATAATGGTTTAAATCGGACCGCAACATCATTCAAGGTTTCATTCTATGTGCAGGTTATCAGTGTATTGTTCCAGTCATGGTATTGTACGTTTTAATTCTTTATGCTATATTATGCTACAATGGTTAATTAGGAGTATGTTCTAAATTTACAAATTTCAATAAATTGAGGATTTTTTCTAAAGGATATTTTGAGAATACTGCATTACCAAATTTTTCTTAAGCATGATGGACAACCCTGAAGTTGAAAACCAACTACAAACCTTCACTGAAAATATGCTCATTGGACTTTCTAAGATCAAATCTCTTCTGAATCAAAATAGCAAAAAAGAGAAGTGTTTAAAGATACAGGGGCTCTAAAACAAAATGAAAATTAAAAGTTATTGCCAATAGGATTTTTCTGGGAATGACCTCAATCAATTTCTTACAGCCAAAGTTGTTTTCCCACATTAACATGTGTGTAGAAAGAAAGAAATATAACCATTCTCTTCTTTTCAGTTGGATTCACAAGGTGAAATTATTTTATTTGGTTATTTTTAATCGTTCTTTTTATCAATATATTAATTATATGTCATGGTCTATTGGTGCATATATGGTGGGTTCATAATTTGTTTTATACAAATATATCAAGAAATATTTTCTTTTGGAACTGTGCATGACTAAGTCAGAATCAATTATAGATTTTTTAAATAATGTGGTCAGTAGATTTCACTCCTAAATCTCTGTTATTTCTTAACCTTCTTTCTTATGAAGTCACTATTATTGAGGTTTGAGCTTTCTTTCTTTTTTTTTTTTTTTTAAGAAATATGGCCTCTAATACAAGACAACTTCCAAATCAGTTTTTTTCAGTTGAGCATATGGACAAATATTAATAAACTGACAGTCCTAAACTTAATGTATCTCCATTGAATCTGACAGTTCTAGACTTAATATAACCCTAGTGAATCTGACAGTTCTAGACTTGATGTACCACTGCCCACTAGAAAATCCTGCTTATAC